TCAAGCAAGCAGCCGTTTACCCTGTTGCTTAGTAACGATGGCAGAGGAGAAGGCGGCAAAATGCGTAGCATTGCTCTTTTCACTTTTGTATTAATGTTTTTGAACCGTTGATTTTGCACCAAAGCTTCAGTAAATAATGGTCATATGAATGTACTGCAAATGCTCTAAAGAATGCAGAAGGCGAACAGAAATGAGATATACAGCTGTCTGCTTGCAGCGGGTCAGTCACGCTTCTCAGGAAAGTGAGTGAAACACACACACACACACGCATTTTTATCAAATAATATGCCATTAATAGTGGTTCACTTCCGCAATTTGGTATGATTGCGTTCATATCAGCAGCAAACCGTACTGGAGTTCACTTGAACCGTACCCCAGACCACACCTTTTAAACGGACTCGGGTACGGTTCGCGGGTGCGCACCTGAGTTCAGAAGACAGCATTCACATCATCCAAACATACCGAACTTTGACGTCAATCGAACCCGGGTGCGCACCAAAAGTGCTAGTGTGAAAGCACCCTAAGACTCTACAGTCTAAGCATTTTGCACCACTTGCATATGATAAAAAGTCTGATAAAAAAAATAATAATAATGGCAAGAAAATATGTTGTTCTACTTGGCTTGTCTTTGTGGATTGCAGGCAAATCAAAGCACAATAACTGAAGTCTGATTTACGAACAAATGACTTATGAGCCAGATCTTTTAATGAAGCATTCAAAAAGACTCACAAGTTGCCAGTTTGAGTCAGTCAGACAAATCCTTCACAGAATTAACTCTCTGAATCCACTGAGACCGCTTACAGAATCAACATCTGACACACTTACTGAACTGTAAGTTATGATACTTTCAGTGATGTCTGATTATATTTAAGTTGATTGTCTTTTGGCCAAGAAGTTAGGCCACTGAAACTACAAGTCACTTTACAAAATTAATATTAATCAGCCAAGCCTTCATTTTAGTAGAATATGTAAATTAGCATGTGAACATCTCCAGTAGGGTTGTGACGGTGAGGAAATTTTCCCACCGGTTAATCGACGTGTGACAACACCGGTAATACCGGTATCACCGTGGGGGCGGGGGCGTTTCCTCTTTTTCTCGCTTTCCTTCGATTTTAAATAGCTTGCAAAAGCGGCGTGTGCATTTTACTTTAACTTTTAAATAGCGGCAGTTCGGCGTCAATTGCTTGAATACAACAACAAAATACAACGTCAAACTCACTTTAGCCTATATATAAAACATAGAACTTTTATTAACAAAACAAATAAAAATACACCATGCTATAGGCAGGCAATGCCTAAAATAAAATAACAAATAACTTGCATAAAGTTTAAAGAGGTATACAAAACTGGAAATAGTAAACATGTATAATATATAACCAAATAAATAAGAAACGTAGAACGTTTATTAGCAAAACGAGTAAGAAAGCTTGGAGGCACGGCATACACCTTGATGTCAAATAAAATAAATTAATGACACAAAGTTTAAATAAAGTAAAAATCAGCAAACACTGTGGAACCAATTAAATAAGAAACAAATGTTTTAAAAAAAACTTCCAAAATCACCTTAGATAACCGGCAAAAGTCAACAGGCTTTTCAAAATCCAGAATATCGCCAAACGGGCGCTTTGCATTTCGTTTCGAAACTAAATCATCCGCCATCGTCTTGTCTGTCTCACCTCACTCTTCTTGTCAGTCAGCTCGACTCACTCTCCTCACTGGAGAAATTAAGACTGATCTGTGATGCGACTGTCGTTCGGCACGCATTGAGCAGCCACGTTCAGTTTTTAATTGTAGTGTCTGTTCTTTTACTGAACTAAATGATTTTTATTACTACAAAAAATCAAAACGACGGTGGGGGTCGGTGCCGCGGTGGGCAAGTGGCGTAACCGTTGTTGCGGCTTAACACCGGTATCACCGTCAGCATCGTCTATCGCGGCAAGCCTAATCTCCAGTAAACAATTTGAGGCAGTTTATGTGCATAAAGTAATGGTAACATTATATAGTCTAACACTGAACTGATCCAATTGACTATGGACTTAAATACTACAAATGTACTTAAAAATAAAAATAAAGAAATAAAGAAATCAAAAAATTCTTGCATGCACAAGTATTTCTACATTGCATAAAGTAGGTGTGCACTTTGAATATTACACCTAGCATAAAAGTACTACAGTATGTTGACCTATTCCAACCTCACATTAAACCTTAGACAGCAGTGCAAGGCAGTAATAGCTAAAGAAATATCACACCTTGCCCTAGATTCTCCAAGATGAGAGGACTATCTCATTCTGTTGCTTTGTGGCTAATGGACCATGCAAATCACTGGCCTCTGAAAGTGACAAGACTGGCCAGTAACATAAGTGACCTCAACAGGGGGTTGCATGGCTCAAATTCACCCCCAGTAACCTGGACCATGCACAGACAAATCAAATGGCATGCTTTCAGTTAACAGACTTCTGCTAACCATTAGGGAGTTTCCTCTGCAGCAGGCACAAAATGGGTGGATCCAAAGGCAGGTTCAATGAAACAAGCCAAGTTTTATGTGTGCTGTAGGTAGACTGTGATTCATAATCTTTGGACTGCATGGGTGGAGTGACTCCTGCACTTCTAAATACAGTAGATCTAGTAGCTTACATCCTAATGCAATGGACCAGCATGTAATTCAGTTTCTTTTAACTGTAAAAAAGTTTGATTGACTCATTGGATTGAGAAGTACATGAACTCCTGCAGTGCTCAGGACAAGATGCCAGACCTCTCTCAGTGCAAGAATAAATCATCCTTAAATATTTAGATATTTAACAAACATCCTAGTTGCAGCTGCAGTTTCACTTCTGCAGGACAACTCACACCCTGTAGCTTTAGATTTTACCGTTTCCTCTTTTAAAACATCCTTATATGGTCCATATTCAGGAGATATTGCTGCATGATTTTGCTTTTTCAGTGACAGTATCAGAAGGAAACGACCGACTTTCATTTCCTTCATGTTACAGACTGAACAAACAGTTGACTAGAAAAAAAATGTATATATAATGTTTCAGAAACCATTTTCTTTCCATTACTAAACCACGGCAGAAAAGTCCTGCTATTTATATCAAACCCCTATTTTAAAGTCAACACAAAATGGAAATTGCAATCATCTTGCCTTCTTTATTTTCACATATTAAACAGCTTCTCGAACAAGAAAAAAAAATAGGTGAAAATCATCAGAGAAGTTGATTTGATAGGAAGGAGAACTTGAAAATATTTTAAAGATATAATGATGTGCATAGATAAATTATTTATAATAAAAACGGCAATATTCCATTAAAAATAATGATTGTCCCATTTTTATTTAATGGTGCCTTTTAAGATGAAATCAGTCATTTCTGCAGCACTAAAGGAAACTGCCAAAAAAAGGTTGACTAATTGATTAGTGAGGTTGACTAGTTTATCTAGATTTGCTCTTTGTTTGTTTTGATATTTTAAGTGCCAGTACTGTAATTAACACGCTGACAACGTGCTGTGCTTTAGCTAATGCTGTATCACAGCAACAAGAAATGCATATGTTACAGTTATATAATGAACATGGCATTCAAATGAAGAAAAAGGATGCAGACATCAAATTCTCTCACTCATGATATCTGGCTGATATCAGAGACAAGGTCATCCCATTTGGTCACATGAGGGCTCTGTAATTATAAATTTGGGTCATACAAGTTAATTTCAGCTCGAAGAGTCCCAGAGCACAGCACTGATAGTAGTCAGAGTTTTCTGCTTGTAAGAGTGATGGCCTTAACCATGTGTGCTGCTGAAAAATCTAAGACAAGTCCATACTGGCTGCTCCCTGCTCAAGCTGTGAGTCAAACTTCATCAGCTGCAGCTCCAACTGGCAGAACCTGAACGTCAACATATCAACACATCACAACAGGTCTATGAGGGACTGACCAACAATATACTGCAGATCCAAACTATTCAGACTTAGATGCAGAGATTAGATAAATAGCAGACGTTCACCTTTAACCCCATAAAGCCTACTGTATCATATTTGATACATGAATTTCTAAGGCCTCCAAATTAATATTATCAAAATTTTGCATCTTCTATACACCTTCTGCCGTCTGACTGATAGTCATACTTTTTAGCAACTAAAATGCCTTTTAGTATAATTCTAAGAATGTCCACCTACACATGTCATGTTCCTCTGAAATCTTTAATGATTTTTACAAGATAAATGTAAAGATAACTTTTATATTGTTAGTAACATTTCAAGATAAACACTTACTGGACTGAAGCAACTTGCTTCATTTTTTAATTTAAAAATCCTGTTCAAATGTAAGTATCAAATATGATACATCAGCCTTTTGAGAAGTGTTTATCTGAACATCTCTCAATCATCACTGTATTGTATTTGTATTGCAGTTTTGCCCCCACAATAAAAAACAGAGCTTTGATCATAAAACTAAGCATTTTAATATCTTAATAATCTTAAGACGTATTATTGGAAGATATATCGTGACAACTGACATTTATATGTATTTTATGTAAGTAGTCTGTTATAGTGTTATAAAGTTCTCATTGATTTACATTATAAATTATCAGAATTTCAACATTTTGGCCATTTAAATATTAAATAACAACTGAAATTGCATATTATTTGCTTAGTTTGGGTTTTTGAATAAATCTGACGTTTTTTTTCCTTCTCCAGTAAGAGCTCCACATCCTCACTATATCATACTATATGGGCCATTAAATATGGACTATTATTTAATATTTCAGGCTTTACAGGGTTAATATTTTCATCTTGGACAGTCACTTAAATTCAGTTAAGATCCCCATTTGAGATGTCATAACAACACGCTCTCTCTCCAAAACACCACCCTTTAAAGACATTCCAGCAAATCCAACGTCAGCAAACCCAAACAGGCACAATGATTGACAGATGGAGAGCATTTCTGATTTCAAGGTGTTGGCTGCTACCTCTTTTTTGCTGTTTACAGAGCCTAAGGCTGTCACAGAGGCAGGTACACATATTCCTGTAATATCTGTCAAGTAGTTGGGACATTTTGTGTGTGGTATTTCAAAGAAGCAAATCGCTTACAGCACCTTTAGTACTGTCCAGTGTCTTTGATGGAGTATAAATGTAAAGATAACTTTTATATTGTTAGTAACATTTCAAGATAAACACTTACTGGACTGAAGCAACTTGCTTCATTTTTTAATTTAAAAATCCTGTTCAAATGTAAGTATCAAATATGATACATCAGCCTTTTGAGAAGTGTTTATCTGAACATCTCTCAATCATCACTGTATTGTATTTGTATTGCAGTTTTGACCCCACAATAAAAAACAGAGCTTTGATCATAAAACTAAGCATTTTAATATCTTAATAATCTTAAGACGTATTATTGGAAGATATATCGTGACAACTGACATTTATATGTATTTTATGTAAGTAGTCTGTTATAGTGTTATAAAGTTCTCATTGATTTACATTATAAATTATCAGAATTTCAACATTTTGGCCATTTAAATATTAAATAACAACTGAAATTGCATATTATTTGCTTAGTTTGGGTTTTTGAATAAATCTGACGTTTTTTTTCCTTCTCCAGTAAGAGCTCCACATCCTCACTATATCATACTATATGGGCCATTAAATATGGACTATTATTTAATATTTCAGGCTTTACAGGGTTAATATTTTCATCTTGGACAGTCACTTAAATTCAGTTAAGATCCCCATTTGAGATGTCATAACAACACGCTCTCTCTCCAAAACACCACCCTTTAAAGACATTCCAGCAAATCCAACGTCAGCAAACCCAAACAGGCACAATGATTGACAGATGGAGAGCATTTCTGATTTCAAGGTGTTGGCTGCTACCTCTTTTTTGCTGTTTACAGAGCCTAAGGCTGTCACAGAGGCAGGTACACATATTCCTGTAATATCTGTCAAGTAGTTGGGACATTTTGTGTGTGGTATTTCAAAGAAGCAAATCGCTTACAGCACCTTTAGTACTGTCCAGTGTCTTTGATGGAGTAACGTTATCCTACCCATTTAGAATGCACACAATGATGGGAAAACACTGCTACACAAATATACTGAATCCAATGAGAGTAGTTACAGAATCAACATCTGACTCTCATACTGAACTGAAAGTTATCATAGCTTTCAGTGATGTCCGGAGTTTTGTTTACATAAGGTTTGTGAAACTTATTTCTGTATCATCACTGCATGTTAATATGACAACATGTATAGGGCTTTGTTTAAAATAAATAAATAAATAATATATGTGTAATATATATATATATATATGTATGTGTGTGTGTGATATATATATATATATATATATATATAGACACACACACACAGATCATGTTGAGTCATGTTGCTTTGTAATGTCCCAGGAGCATCTACTCAAACTTAACAAATATTCATAATTCCACCAGCTGACTATTAATAAAATAAAATAAAAATCACTTACAGCACCTTTTGTACTCTCCAATGTCTTTAATGGGGCATCCATCCAAAAAAAGGTTTGACATCAATGACAGTAAAAGCAATTGCTTCTTGTGTCATATAACCAGACATGCATGTGGAACTGCAAATTAGATTTGTAAGCTACAGTGAAGGGCATAAGTTTAAGCAAATAATGACTGAATTTTGGTCAGTTTCTCTCAAAGTATGACTATTTTGTCTTTTGATTTGCTTAACAGTCCAAAATATGATTTTGTTGTATATATGCATAATTAAGTTGTTTGGGTTTGTAACAACAACATCAGGGTGAGTTTCTGGGTGAATGCCTCCTTTATTGTGGTCACAGGAAACCACCAGCCACAAAATGACACGAGTGAGATAAACAGGGGTCACAGGTGAACAGCTCTTACCTCTCTGGCGATGCTGCTCAGAGCCTCATCCTCGGCTGAGAAACGGTCTTTAATTGGGGCCCGTTTTCGTCCTGATCCTGGCGTCCCCATGTCAACAGCAACTTCACGGTGCACGTAGAAAACACTGAATGAGATGTTTATGGTCTTGTTTCCCAAGGGTGGTCTATTTGTGTAAAATATAACCTTAATGACCCGTTTGTTGTGACAATAAGCAATCTAATAGCACACAGTAAAGACATACAGCAGAGATAACTGCATTATTTCCTATGCAGGTCTATTAGACTCAACTCAGCATCTTAGTGTGTTATTTCATAAAATATTTCAAATGTAGGCTAGATAATGTAGGTTAGATAAGCCTGGCATCTCACACACCCACAAATAGAGGCTTTAGTCATGTGTGTCTGGACTCAGAGCTGATTAACACCAGACACACAACCGAACCTCATAATATAATGTGACAAAGCAGAGAAATATCACTGGCACGGAAGACTAATGGGTTTAGATTGATTCTTTAAGGAAAAACAGCCTCATCTGTTCGTATGTGCTATTTTGGCAGCTAATTAATACAATGACATGTAACAAGCACATTATTATATAAACAAATGGCACCTAAATAAGAGTAACGTTAGTTTTAACAAAGCTTTGTGCGTATCATGTTTGTCTTATTATGTATATAAACCTTTGTTGAATCTGTCAGGACATCGTAATTACATTTAAATGTAAATAAACCTATACATAAAAATTTATATTTAAATTGATATTTCTGCTGAGGCGCTAAATATAAACCAACACTCATTCAGCTGCGTGACAGACTAACTTAAAGCACTTTATTTTCCAGAAAACAAATGAATAACAAGTGCGCTTCAGTAACGTTAAACAGATTAAGTATCCACCACGTGAAGCTAAATATATATATACATATATCATTATTATTGATTATAAATGTGCGAAGTAAAATTCTATATTTATGACTCTAGTTAGCGGTTAGCTTGCTAGCTCGTCCTCAAAGACATAAAGTGTGTAAATGTCACTCAAGTCTTGTGCCGTTAATTCACACACTGCGGTTTAGTGACCTGCCGGGACTTTCATGACAGTTGGCTCCCGTAAGTGCCGGTTTCTTACCGTTTCTGTCCGTCACTATTCCACTCGAGACTCGGGTCGGTTCTGACTGACTGACTGGGACCCGGGCGCGTTCCCGCAAACCAGCGAGATCGAGCGCGCGACACGTGCGCGCGCGTGCCTGCGTGACAGCCACAAACTGACACCGTCCGTCACCTCAAAACTTCAAAAGAAAGCTGCTCGTGTTAAGTCACAAGCGGCCTAAAAGCAGCATACCACCGTTAGTATCAGTTTAATTTCCTTTACAAAAGGCCGCAAATGGCGGGGAATGCCGAGAAATAGTGGTCGTTCCTGAGAGTCTGAGGTGTTTTTTCCAGCTTCGCGCTGAAAGTCCCGGATGTTGGAAAAGAGGCGTAGCCTTGGAACACGCCTAGACCGCCAGCTAACCCTAACCAACTAACTATAGACCATCTAAACAGAAAGCTATTCCGTATGGAACGATATTCCGGACAATTTTCAAATAGAATAGCAAATTGTATTTTCAATTGCGTTTTCCATATGTGGACGCATAAATTGTGACATAATCCAAATGCAATTGCAAATCCTTCATTACCGTTCCGACTGTAGATGTCTATGTGTCATATTGTTTATTACCCCTAGCAAATGACTTGTTATTCGATAATAATAAAAAGTCCCCACCAATTTATCTTATTACCAACGATAACCATTACCCTAAACTAACTAACTAATCTTTAATCTAACCAATCCTAATCCTAACCCCCAAACCAAACTAATTAACCGTATCCCTAACCAACTAACACTAGACATATTGCATTTTACGAACTCCACACTTGTTATCAGTCACACATTGTGTGTAATCTCCATTGAGGTGCTTTTAATGTCTCATTTTATTTTGGGAGAACACATTTTCAAGGATAAAACATAATAATAATAATAATAATTTCTATTTTTTTTAATACCACCACAGAATTCAGTGTTCTGTGTTACATTTGTAGTCCAATAATGACCTCTAGCTGCTGATTCCAAATATTGGCAGAAACAGACATGAGAATGTGAATGAATGAATAAATAATATGATAGGCCTACATTGTGTATGTGATTTATTAAAATTGTAAACAAGCAATTCTACTTTCAGTTGAAGTTATTTTCAGCTCTAGCAATTTTAGCAAAAGTCAGTAAGTTATATCAGCTTTTTGAAATCACAGCTAGGCCATGCATCCTGTACAGTACCTTTTTGCATTGTGTTTTAACCTTTTAAAAACAAATGCATGATTTATTGTAAATTGCAATATTTATGGTATCATAGATTATGCATATAGATCATGCACTGATTTTATTTTCTGGACATATACAACTTTTGCTTAATCATGCCATTTATAAAGCCTGATCTTTTAGTTTCCTATACTTCAACAAATATTTTTTTGAATAATAATTTAATTAAAACCATTTTATGAAATGTCTCGTTGCTCTATATGCATCTATATATGTTTTTGGCAAGTTTGCTCCATTGATATCAAGGCCCACAGCTGTTAAATACATTGATCTATTGGATGGAGCCCCAAGCCTGCAGAAAACAAATAAACAAACAAATAAACAAACAAAACATAAATAAATAAATAAATAAATGCAGGACTTGCTAAAACAAATACAATTTTAATTAAATTTATTCCTAAATTTATTTTTGGGTGTAAATAATAATTATGTAAATAATTAAAAATGCATTTAATTATAAAAAATGTAAATAGTTATGTATGTATGCATAAATAAATAAATAAAAATATAATAAATAAAATAAATAAATAATAAAAGAAAAAGAAAAAAAAGAAAGTTTAAAAATGATTACAGCAAATAGGGTGAGGAAAGTAATAAAAAAAATCAATTAATTAATTTAAAATATGACTTATATTTGTTTTAATCAAGTCCCCATAGGGAAATTATCCTGAGCAATGGTTTGCTAATGCGGTATCCTCCAGCACTGCAGGTGGCACCAATGAGCTCAGTTCACTGCCATTGAATCAATACAAGAAAAAGAGCAAACGTCGCTTTTTTATTGACGCAGATGTGTGCATGACATTGGTGTGGAGTGAATGATCTGAACAGGTATTTAATAACGTTATTTATTTACACTACTTAATATCACTTTTCAAGAACATTTTGACCAATGTAAAGAGTTCACCTGCTTCTATTGCTTGCTTTCACCGATAACCTGAAGCGGTGAAATAACTTGAGAATTGTCCATAATATACTCGTTATTATTAGAGAAAAAGTTTCTAAAATTGTTATTATTATTATTATTACTTTTAATTTTGGCTTGTTTTAATGTCAGGTCAGGATGGCGCTGTCGTTGTCCGGGTTGATTTTGCCCAAACTGATACAGCAGAGGGCTTTCAGGTGAACAATATATACTTTTATATCAGCACATTAGACATGATAAATGAATGATTAAGAAAACAAATCTAAAATCATTCATCTAAACCTGTTTTTGTTTAAAAGTGTTGCCTTGTTGTCATTTAGCCATTGTAATGATCTCACATGTTCTCCACAAATACCATATATTATCATCTCACTGCAGTGTCTCAGCAGCTGTGGCAGCTATTCAGAAGTTAACACGTGTGAGGGTGGTCGACAACAGTGCTCTTGGAAATGTCCATCACCACCGTCCACCAAAAGTCATTCACATATACACCAAGAATGGAATTGGTAAAGTGGGAGACAGAGTCTTACTGGCCATTAAAGGACAGAAGAAAAAAGCTCTCATAGTGGGTCACAAGATGCCTGGAGCTCGAATGACCCCACGCTTCGACTCAAATAACGTGGTTTTGATTGAAGAGAATGGAAACCCCACAGGAACGAGAATAAAAACTCCTATACCAACACATCTGCGCAAAATGGAGGGGGAATATTCTAAACTGTTAGCCATCGCTCAGCGATTTGTTTAAAATGGTGTTTCTGTCTGGGAGGACAAATCCTAAAATATGTCTCCTGTATTTAACTATCTTTGTAAATATATAAAAAAAATGTGTTCATGCCATTCAGGAAATTAGCTTTCATGGTTACTTGTGGAATAATTTGTAATAAAATATATGGATGAAACTGTGTAATAGTATTTGCTATAGTTATTACTTATAATTTTGTAGAGAATGTTATATTATCAACTGGGTTACAGTGTGCAATTTTTTGTAAAAATTACTTTATAGTATTCTCAAACATTTATGTATAGAAGCTTGTTTCCACCATGGGATAAAAAAACAAAAAGGTAATTTCAACTTTTTATTTCACAATTCAGACTTTTTTTCCTTGAAATTCTGAGTTTATATCACACAGTTCAGACTGCTTCTCAGAATTTTAAAATATAAACTTGCAATTCTAAAAAAAAAATCAAGAAATCAAAATTGTAAGATAAAGTCACAATTACATTTTTTTTATTAGATTAGATTAGATTCAACTTTATCATTTTGCAAAGTACAAGTACAGCGCCAATGAAATGCACTTAGCATCTAACCAGAAGTGCAAATAACCAGTATATATAAATAAGCAAAAATATGATAAGTGCCTGTTAAACCTTGTATAACAGGCACTTCTCGTGTTTATTGCCATCTTATGAAAAATTGCTTATTGTATTTCAAAGGAAAGAGAATAAAAACTCCATTAGGGCTGTGCGATATTGAAGAAAAATGCGATATGCCATAACTCGGTAAATAATTCGATATGCGATACGAAATTGCTTAAAGTGCCACATGCTCAGATGAAACAGTTTTACTCAGCTTTTGCTGAGTCAGTTCTGTGAACTTCTATAACTATCTTGTGTCATATACACTGTATATATATATATGGTTATTTGTATGTATGTATGTAGAGCTCCTGTAAAACCACGGTCATCATGAGGTAGAATGTACAAAGGAATGTGCAACATTAATAACAGATGATGCTGTATTATGTGTGTGTGTGTATATATATATATATATATATATATATAGTATTAGCTGGGCCGAGTTGGATAGAGTGTTCACTGTTTAAATTTAGAGTTTAGTAGGCTGACAGCCGAGGGGAAGAAACTGTTCCTGAGTCTGCTGGTGTGACAGCGAAGTATAACGTCTCCCAGATGGGAGAAGACTAAACAGTCTGTGGCTGGGTTGAGAAGTATCTTTGATAATGCAACGTTTGAGGTAAGTGTAATTGATGGAGGGTAGCTAAACACCAGTGATGTGTTGGGCCGTTTTAACAACCCATTGGAGGGCCTTCTGGTCTGAGACAGTGCAGTTGCCATACCACACTGTGATGCAGTTTGTTAAGATGCTTTCAATTGTGCATTGATAAAAGTTTAGCAGAATGTGGGGGGACAAGTGAGTTTTCCTTAGCTTTCTAAGGAAGAAAAGGCCCTGTTGCACCTTTTTGATCAGAGTTGAGGGTCCAGGAAAGATCCTCGAGATATGGACACCCAGGAATTTGAAACTAGACGCATGCTCTACTTCGGCCCCATCAGTGTAGATGGGTGTGTGTGTGTGGTCTTTTCTAGTCTGCTTGGGGTCCACAATCAGTTCCTTGGTCTTCTGGGTGTTGAGTGCGAGATTATTGTCGGCACACCACACTGCCAGGTGCTGAATCTCCTCCCTGTAGGCCGTTTCATCGTCGCCACTGATCAGGCCTAACACCGTGGTGTCATCTGCAAACTTGATTATGGAGTTAGAGCCATGTACAGGTATGCAGTCATGGGTGAAAAGGGTGTACAGTAGAGAATTGGGCTCAGAACACAGCCCTGTGGTATGCCAGTGTTCAAGGTGAGGATGGAGGAGTTGTAATAGTTAATCCTGTTAATCCTGAAAGTCCAAGGTCCAGTTGTAGAGTAGAGAGAGGGGCTGATGCCAGTGTCAGTTAGTTTGGTTAGTTTGGAAGTTGGAATCACAGTATTAAAAGCAGAGCTGTAATCGATGAATAGCATTTTATCTAGGTGATTCAGGGCAGTGTGGAGAGCTGAGGCGATGGCGTCCTTAGTTGACCTGTTGGGTTTGTAGGCAAACTGAAATGGGTCCAGTGTTGGGGGCAGGCACGTTTTCAGATGGGAGAGTACCAGCCTTTCGAAACATTTTGAAATGATTGGCACCGAACAAGCAAACTCATCTACTCACTAATCTGCATTCACAGTTTCAATGTGTTTATAATCGCACTTTTGCAACCTATTCTAACTCAAACCTTCAGGGAAAATGTTTTTCAAATAAACACCTCAGAAGCTTAGTGATGGTGATGTTGAAGTCATTCGACCGTATAGTTCAACTATAGCTGTAGCTTTTTTCTCGATGAAACCAAGGTGATGCTACATTTATACAGTATATATTTTTCTTAATTCGTTTTTCCCTTTCATTATAAAATTGTTTAAGCCAA